GAGGGCTGATTTGGAGCTGAGGCTGAGGAAGTTCCACCCCTGGGCATGGGAAGCTTCTCCCCAGAGCCATCCTGGGGACACAGGCCCATCTATGGTGACTCTAGCTGAGTGCTTCTTTATCACCGTCTACACAGGCGGAGATGAAGGAGGTAAAAAAGACTGAGGATGGCCCAGGACCTCTCCTCACCTGCTTAGACCTTCCAAGGGGGTGGAGGCGAGACGGCCTTACACGGATCTTACATTACACCTGAAAACTCACCTAACTCCTGCCACCAGCTTGGACTTCAACGTGGGTTTTCAGGGTTTTCCCCAAAGTGATCTGGAGGTGACACTGGCCAGATCCACAGGAGTCCAGGACTGCCCGCATTTCAGATCAGCATACACCATCTCCTGCATGAGGTTGCCTGGGGCCATACCTAAAATCAAAGGTTCCAGTCCTATAACCCATAAATCAGGCAGGCTTGAGCAATTCATTTCAACTACATTTCTCGAACCCTTGCAAGCCCAGCTGTAGACTGGGCCCTGAGGAATACAAACCAAAGTACAAGTCCCTCATCTTTGAGAGAAGGGCTGTCATGTACATTTGTGCAAGTTGTAAACTGTCCACAGCCATTTCACCACGAGTAGGGGTTACATGCTGGTCACATAGGACTGGATCCCAAGCCCCAGAAGAGAGAGTGCCTTCTACTAAGTTGCACAAAGATGCTTCATAGGCTAGTAGTAACTTTCTTGAGGAGGCCATGTCTGACGGCTGACACAGAAATGTAAATAAAAACAGCATTTTCTCATAACACAGAAACAAAGAATTCTATTTCCTTGTGTAGAGACTAAGAAAATCAAATGAGAAGGTAAAGAGGGAAACGCTTAGTGATGGTGTATAACACAGGATGCAGCTCTAAAGATACCGCGATGTAATCGCACATTGTAAACCAGCGTTGTGGACTGCGAAGGTCGCTCTGCTTCTCTGGACTTTCTTTAGGTACAAAAAGAATGAGATAGAGGAGAGCAGTGGATATCCAATTTTAAGCTTTTTAATAATCACTTGGGGCTAGGGTATAGCTCACTGGTAGAGTCAAGTCCCCGGTAATGGGGCTGGGGGGAATCACTCAAAGATAGCTTTGGCCTTGCTGCAGACAGCCTAACAGAGAGCAGGTCAAGGTGGGGTTCAAGATTCTATATTTTTGATCCAATATCCCAGATACTCCTGATGCCCATAGTCAGTGACCCAGTGGGTAGACCTGGCCCTTTCCAAATCCAACCTTCCCTGTTCTGCATGCTAGAGCCAACGGAGTCTGAGACAACAGAAAAATCAGAGAACAACCTCATGACCCCTGACCTGAATGCAGGGACCTTACAGAGGGGCTGGCAGTCACACTTTGTGCTCCTGTCCCCAGATGGGCTTGGCTGGCTCTGGACACTTACCAAATACTCGAGGTCCTGGGATGGTCACTCTGCTGGGGCTGACCCCACCCATTCTCCCATCCCCCAGAGGCCCACCAATGCCCAAACCACCGTCTATGGACCAAGAGGTTTTTCAGGCTAGGAAGCCTCTTCAGTCTAGAAGCGACCAGCTGTGCCAACGGACATGGTCAACGATGTGACCCAGGAATCACGAGCCCACCAGGGAAACTGGAAACAACCAAAGAGGAAGAAAAGGCCATAGCTATAGAAATGCGTCAGTCCCCGCCTTGGCCACAGTGGCCTTGCCCAGACAGGGATGTGAGCAGCAGCCGGCCCTCCCTCCTGCTCCCCACAGTTCCCCCTTGCCGTCCCCAGAGCTGTCTGAAAGCCCATGTGGCCAACCCTGACGGAAGCGGAACCACAGGGTGGCCTCGTGTGGCCAATACCTTAGACGTCAGTCGCTGGAAGCCTGGGCAGAGTTCCTTGGCCAGGATGTCCAGCCGTCTAGCAAACAGACCTGCGGGTTCCCAAGCTGCTCTTCGGCCAGTGGGTGGGCCCAGGGATGAAGGGCACGCTCCCTCTCTCTCCATGTTGGAAGGACCCACACTGTGTGGACACAGCCCGGTGCCCAGGGCTTCCTTTGCTCTTCCCAACATCCTGGTAAACAGGAACCGTGGCCCTTCACCATGAAGGAGCTGCAGCCTTGGCAGACTTGTCCCCTTTGCCCAAACGCACACACTCCTGGTTAAAAAGAGCCATGGTTGTAGCAGCTGAATGCTGGGCACTTGCCATGAGTTAGGCCTGCAGGAAGCACTTTTATAGGCATTACTTTGCTTTTTTTCTTTTTCTGAACAACGTAAACGGTGGATGATACTGTCATCTTCATTCTGCTGATGAGGAAACTAAGGTTCAGAGGGGGCCACACCAGCACTAAGGTGCGGGTGGGAGGGGGTTTGGAGTCTACCATCACAGACCTGCATCAGTTCTTTGGCAAACTGGCTTGGAACCCCTTTGTCCTATTTGTGAGCAAATTTAATTGGGTTAAAAAATATAGAGAGTGAGCCCCACTGAGTACAAGGCTATGCGGAGGGAAATAAAAGATGTTGGATTTGGTCTTGGCCTTCATGGTCTAGCATGAAAAATGGACCTCAGCAACTCTAACAGGGACATGGATGCTACTGTATAAACAAGCAGATTCTGAAGCAGCACTGATATCCAGTGGAAGAGACTGAAAGGTGTCACCCAAGGTGACGTTTAACATTATTTTCTTGTTTTAATGTGGGCAATGAGCCTGCTTCCCAGCACGACCCCATGGGCCTGCACCACTCTGCGGTGGCTCCCAGACCTGGCTGGCGCTGACTTAACCCCTGGTCCAGCCTCAGGCCCTGGCTACAGCCCCAGGGCAGCCCCTCCACCTCCCTTGGTTTCAGGGCTGAGCCATGATGTAAGCTGCTCTAACCGCAGTGAAGGCCAGGGCTGCTGCCTGGTGGCTTTGAGCTCAGATACTCTTCCCTCTCTCTCTCCAGGCGGCATATGCTCCGTGTCCTGGATCCACTGCCACAGCTTGGTCACCTGGAAAGCCATCCTAAAGGCAGAACCAGCACAGCCAGGACCAAAAAATCTATGAGGAAAGGGAGCCAGAGCCCCAGCAGGAGGTCCAGACGGCCTTGCTCAGCCACCGGACATGGGTCGTGTGTTATTTATCATCTGCAACATCCCAACTGCCCAAGGTCTATTTTTGAAAATATGTGAGGACGCCCATAAAGCGTTCTGCTCTTGATATGGTCAAGATCAAGCATCAGTTGAGGGTCTTCTGGTTCCAAGAGACAGAAAAACTAGCCCACACTGACATAAGCAAAGATGGAATTCATCAGCTCAGCGCACGGATTGGCTTTGAGGCTTAGCTGAGTACAGGGACCCAGGACTCAGCTCCCTCCCAGGCCTCTGCTGAGTTCTGTCCTCACCCCAGGTCTGCCTTACTCTCAGCCCTACTTCCCTTCTCAGTTGCAGTGCAGATCTCATGACCCCTTGAGGTCCAGTGGGAAGGGCAACGAGATCATCACGTTAACCAAGGTGATCCCCAGAGTTCCCTGAGTGGGCGGTGGCTGCAGCCCTGTCACTGTGTCCAGGAGCACAGACTCCCCAGGGAACGCAGGCCACTCTCCTGTGATTCCCCATGGGAGCCCTTGTAGAGGTCAGCTTCCCACAAAGGCGCAGGGCTGACCACAGGCCGGGTGTTCCCCCAGAGCTAAACCCAGCAGCGCAGGAGCAAGCAGAACCAACAGATGTCCCCCCACCCAGTGCACTTGGAACCCCACAGCCTGCATTCCTGACGTAAAGGGATGTGCAGCAGGTGGTGGAGCAGAGAATTGTGTTTATCATGACTGAGAGCTCCTTTCCTGGGTTTGCCAGCCTCAAATCAGAAATCATTCCTGTGAGCGGTTTGTTCTTCCTTGGGCCTAGGAGTTCTTTCAACATATTTTCTGAGCAGGACTGAAGATGGTAGACATAGTTACCACACTGACTGAACTAAAAGCGTGGGATACATTATCTCATTTAACCCTTACTGCTGGCTCATCTGATCTGAAGCAGGGGTGATTTTGCTCCCTGAGGGTCATAGGGCAATGTCTGGAGACAGTTTGGGTTGTTACAACTCAGTGGTGCTGCTGGAACCCAGTGGGTAGAGGCCCTGAATCCTGCTGGACACCCTTTAGGGCACAAGCCGCCTCCAAAAGCAAAGAATAATCCATGGCACCCAGGTTAGGAAACAAGTCACGATGCGCTCCCCATTTTTATGGATGAAGAAGAATGAAGCTTCAAAAAATTAAGCCACTTGGCCAGGTTTCTGCACTGTAAAAAGTAGTAGGGTTGGACTTTTAATCCAAAGCCCTTGCTTTTATCTGCTGATTATTAAACTTGGAATTGGAACTCAGTGTCCCTTCCTCCCCCACCCCCATATTCTGGTTCTGTGGCCTGGGGTCCAGGAATTGGTGTAACGAGTCTGCAGATGACAGCAATGGAAGCAGCTAATTCCCAAGTGTTCGGAAAGCCCTGCGAGGACACAGGCTGGGCACGCACTGGTGCAAGGTTGTGTGGGCACAGGAGCATGTCTCTGGAGATTCCCTGGGGGTGGAAGGCACAGCTCACTCCTCCCGTCTTTCCATCGCTTTCCCCTCTGCTCAGAAGCCCTTTGGCTCCCTCTTTTCTGCTTCCCGTCCATCCTCCAAGTCCTTAGGAAGCCCTCTCTGCTCAGTCTACCCGAGATCTTCCAACACCCTGAACAGAGCTCCACTCATCACACAGTGTATAATTAGCAGTTGACATGGCTGTCTGGTCTCCTGGGCTGTAGGCCACCTGAAGATGGAACCCAGGTCCATGCTGCTCTGTGCAAAGCACAGAGCCTAGCAGCAGGCCATTTGTCCCCAAATTGCCATTTGCTACTTGCTTATTCCAGGAGTTAACAAACCATTTCTGAGAAGTGTCACATAATGAGTTATTTTAGGCTTTGAATAGGTCAAAGCCATGACCATAGGTCATCACAGATACTTATTCTGCTGTTGTAACACAAAAATCGGCATAGAAAATATATGAGCGAATGATCTTGGCAGTAGACCAATAAAACTTTATTGACAAAGCATCTGTGGCCAGATTTGACCTGTATGCATCTGCCTGTTGGAACAACCAACCATCCATTAGTAAGTCCTTGTGTTTAGATGTGCAAATTGCTGTGAGCAATCCTCAAAATATAGCTGTGTTTCTTAGCCACCCCTGAAATGTGGGCAGGTGAACAAATACTGGCCAAGGAGAAGCATGATTTGGGTGCCTCAGGAGGCGGTTCTTAAAAAGCTGCTTCATTTGGAAAAGGCTCTTTCCCCACCTTCTTCAAGAAGTCCCAGGTGGAAGGAAGAGCAGGGAGACAAGAGCCCAGACCCTGGTGACACCAAGGGACTCCATACCAGCCCTGCAAGGCCAACCTGAAGACTTGACGGTGAGAGAAAAATAACCAGGTCTTGGGCCGCTGGGGGTGTCCGTGTCCTATGAGCAGCAGAACCTGGCCTTAACTGCACATGGGCAGGTGGAAACACTGAGCAAATATTTGACTAGCGAAAGGGCTGCCCGGGGCACACAGGATCACAGAGGAAATGAAGGCTGCCCTGCAGGCGGGAGGGTGGGCGGGTAGCCATGGAAACAAACAAACACCAGGGCTTCCCCCACTGGTGGTTAGGATGACTCACTCTCCGCCAGCTCTCCTGGGGCCCTCTCCCTCCTCCCGCCAGGGGCCTTCCTTTTTTGGTGCCTGCCATCACTTTCAGGGGCATCCGTCCTCCCCAAGGTCATCCATCACGGAGAACTCCATTTCCTGCAGTGAGTGCCCCATTCCTTGACATTTTAAAGAGGTTTTACTCGCTGAACCCCAAGAGGGAGCAGACTGGAGAATCGCCCACATAACAAAAAGACCGGAGGACATGAAAGAGGTCCTCATGGTCACCGTCACGGATTTGGGTGTCTTTCATTGTCAGCATGCAGGTGGTCGAGGCTGAAGGGCAACTCCGGCCACAGACAAACCTTGATTTGGTTGATGACTGGGTCACCTGGCAGTGGCAGTGGTCAGCATCAGTTTCCCACACTGCAAAATAAATCAGTAACAACCTTCTCGTAGCCATGCTGTGGGATCAAGCGGAGCTGGGGAAGGGACCTGGCACAGACCGGGGGGAACTGTATTCTGGAAACTTCCCTCCACCTGCCGTCCTGCTGAGGGGGACTGGGGTAGGGTAGGATGATGGGTGGGGGCTGTGGAAGGGCAGAGTCCTCAAGCCCCCAGCCTTCCCCCCCCTTCCTGTCCTGCCTGTCCCCACACAAGGGTGCCTCCTTTTTCTTCCCCCACCCCACTGTAAACTCTTGCAGGACAATCCTTGGCATCAGCAACCCCCTGCCCCTGGCATGCTTCACACACCCAGCCTCACTGGAGTCCTGCGTGAACATCCAGTGCCACAAGGACATTCTCTATGTCACACTGCTGGTCACGTGCATTCATTTTCAGGTGAAGGTGGCCTTGACACTGTCTGCAGGGGAACAAGTGGTCACGGCACACCCCAATCCCACAGGCCCTTTCCATAAAGGTGGTAGCTTACAAATGCAAAATAGTCCACATCCCAGGAGGGGTCTGGGGCAGCCATCAGTGCCCCGCAGGGGAAATGAACGACCCAAAAAAAGCTGCCAGGATCCCGCGGCAGCCGATGTGGGAACGGACCCCGCGGAGCCGCTGCTCACGAGGCTGTAAACTTAACACTGCTTCCCATAAATGGTGTCAAGGAACAGAAGTAGGCGAGCTCCAGAGAGAGGGCCAGAGAAGGGGACCTGCAGGTGACAGCTCTTCCAGAGCGTCCTTGGCAGGGCCGTGACAGTCAGTCTGTCATTTCGTGATACCTGCTGAGCCGCACTGTGTACCAGGCATCCACGAGGACACCTGGAACTCAGTGGAGACAGCCCTGGGCTCTGCTCGTCCACAGCTGACATTGCAGGGCTGGAGGGACAGCACCCTAGGAGTTCTGGAGTGGGATCACCTCTGTAGGAAACTGGCTCCAGCCCCCCAGGATGATCTAGACGAATGACTTCACCTGCCATACCCCAGTGTCCCCACCTGCACAACGTGGGTACTAATAGCATCCACTGTGGGGGTCAGGAGGAGACCCATGTAAGAGGACACGCGTTCCTTCCAGGTGGCTGCTTCTGTCATTCGATGCTATGCAAGCCAGAGGGCTGAGGGGCCTGGCCTCGAGGACTGACCACAAAGGCTCCGGGTTGCAGAAACAGACATGAGGATGCCCGCAAGCCACACGTGCAGTGGGTGGAAGGGTCTCCCCTTGGACCCAGGCCCAGGGTTCTGATCTGACCTCTGGCCTCTGGCCTCATGATGGGACCTGTGGGAACACAGCTCCACAGGCTGAAACATAAAGCAGAGCCCCCGTCACATGAACACCAGTGTCTCCTGGCTGTGGCCCAGAGGAACTCGAGGTCACAGAGGCGGGGGTTGGGGGGCATCCAGGCCTGAAGGGCAGCTCCAGCTCCACAGCCCAGCTGCACCCCACTGGCTCTGTGACCTGAGCAGATGGCATGGCTTCTCCTAGCCTCGTCCCTTTCCCTGTGGAATGAGCTCATGGGAGACGCTCTCCAGGTTCACGTGAGGACTAAACGCTCACAGAACGGTGGCTTCCTCCTGTCCACGACTGTCCAACCTCACGCCCAGCTGACGGGCCTCACTCCACCTCAGCTCCTGCACGTGGACTTTATCTGCCGGCTGCTCAAGGCTGCCTGGAACATGAAGGGCCACTGTTGTCCTGGATCCTGGCCTGGGAGACAGAGCTGGGCCCCTTTCTCTTGCTGTGTCTCGGCTCTGCACCTGGCACCTGCCTGGACAGTCTTCTGAGGATTTGGCTGAAATAGAGGGCATGTCACCGTTATCGAGATGTGAACTTGACAAGCAGGCAAGCTGTTTTTTAAAGAAAACATGAATCACACATTTTATTTATAAAAGCAACCTAACAACACCATTAGGCAATTTTTAATAACAGCTTTATTGTTGTACATTTACTACTCTAAAATGAACCCTTGAGAGCTCACAATTCAGTGGTTTTTAGTCACTGAGTCGTACCATCATGACCCTCAGTTCCAGAATATTTTCATCACCCCCAGAAGAAGCCCCACACCCATCAGCAGTCACTCCCAATGCTCCTCCCCACCCCACCCTCACCCCCAGCTTGGGGCAACTACTAATCTACTTTCTGCCCCTGGATCTGCCCATTCTGGATGTTTCGTGGAAATGGAATAATGGCATACGGGTCTTTTGTGTTTGGCTTCTCTCAGCACGATGCTTTCAAGGTCCATCCATGCTTCAGCGTGGGATGGCACTTGGCTTCTTTCATGGTTGTATAATATCCCATCAGGGGGACCTAACACCCGTGGTTTAGCCACCCGTGGTTGATGGACTTTGCTGACAATCATGAATAATGCTGCTATCAACGTTCACGTCCAGATTTCTGGGTGGACACGTTTCCTGTCGTTTGGGGCCCACACTTGGCATTGGAGGTGCCACACCAAACAGGAACTCTAGGCTTAACTCTTTGAGGAACTGCCAAGCTGTTTCCCAAAAAGACTGCAAAATTCTTATTCCTACCAGTTATATATGAGCCTTCCAATTTATCTGCATCCTTGTCAAAATCTGTCATTGTCCATCCTTTTGATTATTGCCTTCCTAGGGGGTATTCGGTAAGTTTTCGAAGAGATTAAAAAAAAAAAAACTCACAATTGTTTCTTCGCAGGGCTGAGAACTATGCCTGACACAGAGTATCAATATGCACTCGTTAGGAAATTAAGTGCTCTGTCATCCCAGATGATCATTTTCACTTTATTTAATTTCTGTCTAATCGTCTTCATAACACAGATCCCATAGTCATTCCTATGTTTGCATATAATTTCTTGCTTTTTCACCTATCATTCATTTTTAAATATCCTTATGTGTCCACACATTTTGCATTTCTGCACAATTATTGCATTTGTTTGACCAATAGTTCCCGCAGAGGATGCAGTAAAATGTACTAAACCACCTCAGAGTTAGCGTCTTCCACTCTTTCAACTCTAAGATGAAATTTTGCAAATTGGGGGAGGGGAGCACTTCTTTGGCAACATTTTTCAGAATCCCAGATGAGTAGAGAAGGCAGACAGAAACTAAAACCCAAACCAAACCACCTGTATTGGGTTCTCCAGAGAAACAAAACCAATAGGGTGCGTGTGTTTGTGAGTATATAAGGAGATTTATTACAAGAAATCGGCTCATGGGATTTGGAGGCTAGAAAATTAGTGAGCCCAAATCTGCAGGGTGGGCTAGTAGGCAGTGGGCCAGGAGAGTCTGATGTGGATGAAGTCCAAAGGCAGTCTTCGGGAGAATTCCCTCTTCTTCTGGGAGACTGGGTTTGGGGTAAGTCAAGCCTTCATTTGATTAGATAAGACCCACCCGACATAATGGAGGGCTATCTGCTTTACCCAGAGTTCACCACCTTAAATGGTATTCTCAGCCCCAAATATCCTCCAAGTTAACATGTAAAATTAACCATCCCAATGCCTGAATGGATTTCATTGTTTGCTTTTTTTTTTTTTTTTTTTTTTGGTACTGGGGATTTAACCCAGGGGCACTTAACCACTGAGCTACATCCCCAGCCCCACCTCTTTTTTTAAAAACATATTTTATTTAGAGACAGGGTCTCACTGAGTTGCTTAGGGCCTCACTAAGTTGCTGAGGCTATATTTGAACTTGTGATCCTCTTGCCTCAGCCTCCTGAGCTGCTGGGATTACAGGTGTGCACCACCACACCTGACTCTGTGATTGTTTCTTTATTGTCATCAATAAATCACCTGAGAGTCTGACCTGCTTATAAACCACACCATTTAAGCTTCTTTGCTGATGCAAAGGCAAACTTGAATAAAATGAACAGAGTACAAGGGACCATGAAATGAAGACTACTAATTTCTATTAGGATGACCAGACTTTGAGTCAGCTTTTTTGACACTGGGACCAAAAGATCTGACAAGAACAATTTTAAGGAGGAAAAATTTATTTGGGGCTCACGATTTCAGAGGTCTCAGTCTGTAGAAGTTTGGCTCTGTTGCTCTGGACCCAAGGTGAGGCAGAGTATGGCGCCAGATGAATGTGATAGGGGAAAGCAGCTAGGGACATGGCACCAGGAAGCAGAGAGAGAGAGGTCCCTCACCAAGAAGAAAACATAAACCCAAAGGCATACCTCAAAGACTCACCTCCTCCAGCCACACCCTACCTGCCTTCAGTCACCACCCGGTTAATCTCCAGGGGATCAGTCCACTGATTAGGTTAAGGCTCTCATGACCCAACCATTTCTCCTTTGACCCTTTGTGCAGCGTCTCACAAATTTGCTCTTGGCGACACCTAACATCCAAACCATAACAACCACATTCCAAGCAAACAGAATCTTATGAGCATTTGTGTGGCCCTCACCATATGTCACTACCTTTTCCTAGGACTCCTGCCTCAAAATCTCACACCCCCTGATGGCAAGGACTGTGCCCAGAACCCCGGCACAGCTCACGGGCTCACCAGTTACGTGCTCAGCAAGTTTAGGTCCCTACGTTATTTCTAGATGTCTGTAGTGTCCCACCGGTGCCTGCATAGCCCAGAGCCTCGGTGCAGTCTGGCTTGCACCTGGCTGCAGCAGCCCCAGCCTGAGCTGTTCTCCTCCTGGCAAAGTGGGATTTATCGAAGCTGTTTTAGCACACTGTGCAGAAATTCCGGGCTGCTTCACTGCATCAGCAGGAGAGAACAAACCCTCTAGAAACTTCTTTCTCTGGAAGGATCACTTGGGTAGCACCTAGATCCGGGAGGTGGGGAAGGAAGAGGACGGTCAGGACAGGCAGCCTGTACCAATCTCCCTTCCTAAGGTCCGACTCATTTTTCCCACCCTTCCTGAGTTCTCATATCTCCTGAGGAGAGAGTTGCTGGGGGACAGGGAGGAGGCCAGCAGAGATAAGAGAAGGAAAGTTCTAGATAAATAAGCCTTGCCTCTAGTTCCCTTGCACTGTCACTCCTGGACAGCCTTTTCCTGACCTCTCCAGCCAGGCCTCCCAGCTCAGCTCAACCAAGTCCCTCATTGCTCTTCTTTTGTAGAGGGTCTGCCTTCTGCTTCTCGGGATCCCACCACACAGCCTCCTGGCTCTGCATCTGCACTGCAGATGTCACACTCTCCTGCAGCAGCGTGCAGTGTGCTCTTTATAACACCCGGACCACTTTTACCCTTTGAATTTTTCGAATATAAAATTGACATATACTTATGAAAACAATTCAAGTCACACAGAAATGCTTCCCACAGAAGGTGAACCTCCCTCTGCTTGCTCTCTTGCGATAGCGGCCGCTGATGATTGCTTCTGTGAATTCTTCCAGTTTCTATACACACGACAATGAAGTAGTGTCACTAGCTGGCTGAGCAGGTCACATTTCACCTGCATGATCTAATTTAATCCTCACAACAATCCTTCCTGACATAGGGCTATTAGGCTCCTTTTTTTTTTTTTTTGCTACTGGGGATTGAACTCAGGGACACTCGACCACAGAGCCACATCCCCTGCCCTATTTTGTATTTTATTTAGGGACAGGGTCACTGAGTTGCTTAGTGCCTCATTTTTGCTGCGGCTGGCTTTAAACTTGAGATTCTCCTGCCTCAGCCTCCTGAGCTGCTGGGATTACAGGTGTGCGTCACTGTGCCTGGTTATTAGGCTCCTTTTGACAGAAGAGGAAACTCAGGCTCACCGAGCAGTGGGGAAAATGAAACAATACAAAACAAAAACTTGCCCAAGGCCCAATTCAGAAAGTAGTTGAGTGTGGTTCAAATCCCAAAGTTAGGACTAGAACTTGCTTTCTTGGATACTCTGCTATTTATTATTTCTCAACTTTGGAGGAATAATATACATCTGATTTGTAGCTTATTTCTATACTCTGTATTATTTCAAACTAGTGCTTATGAATGCAATTCTTTTTTCTCTTTCTTTTCTTTTTCTTTTTGGTGATACTGGAGATTGAAGCAGGGCCTCTCACATGCTAGGCAAGTGCTCTACCACTGAGCTACACTCCCAGCCTGCTATTATTATTGTTATTTTTCTAAATTTTGAGACAGGGTCTCTCCACGTTGCCAAGGCTGGCCTTGAACTTGATATCCTCCTGACTCAGCCTCCTGAGTTGCTGCAAGGTATTAACCCATAGCACTGCCCAGTAACAAAATTTCAGAGATTTCACATAATTGGCACTATGCGTTTGAAATGAGTGTGTGTTTTGCACAACACAAAGTATCTACGAATATTTGGGGGAATAGTATGTATATAAATGAGCCATTTCTCTGATTTATAATGAAAATAAATAGACCAACCAAATGAGAAAAGCAAAGGCTATTTCTTCCTTTGTCATAGTGAGGGAATCGGCCACCAATCTCGTGTTCTGGTGGAGCCTTGAAGGCACCCAGGGGGATGGGGAAGCTTAGGAAGTGCCCCCGTGGAGGCAGTTGGCACGGGGCAGCTATCACTAGAGGCTGGGCATCCTATGTGATCAGTGAAGGTGGTATATCTGGCTTCCTCTGGTTGGTCCTAACTTGTGAGTGGTGACAAAAATTAGGGAAGCTGCAGTTATTAATCATATCCTGGCCACTTGGGGCCAGTTGTTGCAGAAGTTATTGTCTGGAGTCCTAGATTGTGACTAGAGATGGCCAACTGGCTCCTTTCAGCCCTGAAATAATGCAGCCTGGCCTCCTGGTGGGGACTTCCTAGGCAAGTGGCTACAGATGGTGGATAAAAATCTATTTTTCTATAAGGTCTGGCCATCACCATTTGTCTGTTCAGTCTCTTACTACACAAGTCATCGTAGTTCATTTTTCTTTTTTATTTTTTCTAGTTGTAGTTGGACACCTTGCCTTTATTTTATTTATTTATTGTTATGTGATGCTGAGGGTCGAACCCAGGGCCTTGCACATGCTAGGCAAGCGCTCTACTGAGCCACAACCCCAGCCCCTTAGTCCACTTTTCTTTGCTACAATTGAACTCCACCCATGAAGTAGTTTTAAAGGATGCAGCTTTGTTCAGTTCATGGTTCTGGAGACCCAAATGCCCGACAAATACATGAAAAAAAAAAAAGTTCAACATCATTAGCAATTCGGGAAATGCAAATCAAAACTACACTAAGATTTCATCTCACACCAGGACAATGGCAGTCATCAAGAATGCAAACAATAGTAAATGCTGGAGAAGATGTGGAGAAAAAGGAACACTTTTACACTGTTGGTGGGATTGTAAATTACTACTACCACTACTATGGAAATCAGTATGAATCTTCCTGAAAAGACTAGGCATTGAACCACCATATGACCCAGCTATACCACTCCTTAGTATTTATCCTGAAGAATTAAAGGCATCTTACTACAATAATACATGCACACCCATGTTTACAGCAGCACAATTCACAATAGCCAAACTATAGAATCAGCCTAGGTGTCTGTCCACAGATGCATGGATAAAGAAAATATATATACACAATGGAATTTTATTCAGCCATAAAGAAAATTGGATTCTGGCATTTGCAGGAACACGGATAAAACTAGAGATCATCATGTTAAGCAAAATAAGTCAAACTCAGTTGGTAAGGTTGTATGTTTTCTCTCATATGTGAAGACTAGAGAGGAAAAAAGAAAAGAAAGGAGGGTGTAGATCTCATGAAAGTCAAAGGGAGATGAGTAGAGGAAAGGGGTTAGGAGATGAGAGGAGTGGAGGGAGGGAAGAAGGGCCGGAGAGTGATCTCCAGCAAATTATATTGTTATTATTCTGTGTGCATGTATGAATATGCAACAACAAATCCCATCAATATGTACAACTATAATGCACCAATAAAAATAAGTAAATAAGTAAATAAACATGTCAGAATATCTGCTCAATAAAAATTTCACATACAATATTTTATACTCACCTAAAAATTTTTTCAACATGAGTTTTGGTAGGAATGTCCAAACCATAGCCCAAGGCTTTCTGGTTCACAAGGATGTAAGGATCTCTTACAGTGGATTCCATGGAGGACCCTCTCTTCACAGTCCACAGAAGGGAAACCATTGCTTTAAAAAAAAAAATCAGAATGTAATGCTGGCTGTACCCCAGGTCTTGGCTGCTCTCGAGGGGGAGCAATCTTGCTCAGAATCCTGTGCCGTCAGGGCCAAGTATTTTGCCAGGTGGAAAACGGAGTCCTTCATTGGTGTGTGCTCCTCTCCTGGATGAATGGAGTCCCACCTGGTAATTTTAGTTACGATGCACTGGGAAGATGCTGAGAGGTGTTCTTAGCAGAAATTTGAAAGGCCAGGGACGTAGCTCAGTGATACAGCATTAGCGTGAAGGAGTCCCCAGGTTCCATCCCCTCACCAAAAAAGGAAGGGGGAGGATTTGAAATCAAAAGTCCTAGGGTCTGGCTCCATGCCTTTGGGAAGCGAAGTTCCAAACAGGGTGTCCTTCTAGAACATGAGTCCAGGGGTGACCCTTTCCAGCCAACCCCCTGAGATTTCTTCAGGATCTGTGAAAACATTTCAGAAATTGGGCTATTATGCAAATAAGAATATTACCAGGATTATAGAAATGTTATTGCCTGGAATTCAGCATTTTAAGGAATCCATTAAAGGGATGGTCCTTTTAACAACCCGGCCCCACCCCCAGCCCATGGCATTGTTCTCAAACAGGAGGGAAGCCTCCTTGATCAGGTCTTTAAAACAGCACACAATTTTCAAGTGTGATTCAATGAATCATTTCTGTCGAAATCACAATGTCCCTTTGGATTGTCAGCTTGTTGAAAGCCTTTGCATCTGGAGGGGCTGCCCTGAGCCCCTGCTCCTCCTGCAAGCAGATCAAACGTCCTCTGGGGAAAAGCACTGGTTAATGGCAAAATGAATTAGTGGCAAGTTGGGAGACAGAGCCGAATGGTTACCCAACACACGGTTACGTTCTGCGCACTGAGGTGGTCCAGTAATGCACCTAAATGGGCCTTTCGCAAATTGAATCAAAACGGGGGAGATTGCTATTTAAAAGACCCTGGGGGGAATTACTTGATAAAAGATCTTTCCATTTTCATGAATGAGTCCCCTGATACAACTGCTTTTTCTAAATTTGAATTTTTATAATCCAGTGTTCAAATTATTATCAGAATAGTTCTTATAATGATAGTAGTTAAAAAGATCCATCTGTTACATAAAATGGCATTCAATATACATTTAACCTGCACACATCCTCTTGGATGCTTTGAACTACCTCTAGATTACTTAGGATCCCAAGTAAAAGTGCATGCTATATAAACAGTTATTATAGTGTGTTGATTAGGAAACAGTGACAAGAAAAAGTCTGTACATGCTCAGGACAGATGCAATTGCTTTTCAAGTATTGTCAATCCATGGTTGAAATCTCCAAATGCAGAACCTGAGGATATTGGGGTTCTGTACCCCAGTTGTATGGCTCCTGACATGGTCCCTCTGAGAGTTGATGTCTAAAGAGAGTTGGTGCCGTTAAGTATAGGTTCCATATCAAATTCAACAGGGGAGGATTTCAACTCAGGATCAAGAAAATATTTCAAATAAGTAGTTTCGACCAAAAGGAGATTGGTTTTTTGCCGTTTTGAGTGTTGATCTCCCTTTCAGAAAAGTTTAGATTATGGGGAACACTTATGTTCATTTTAAAATTGGGCTTGAATTTGTTCTAGAAAACGCAAGTGTGTGTAGAGCAGGTGTGAGATGGGAGGCCTCTCCTCCTTCAACAGGGTTAGGTTAACATAGCATTCAGGTAAAATAAATGAAAACAAGTTGGTGGGGTGGGGGAGAGCCTCAGTGGGAAGCACAATTGGGAAGACCAATGGGGACCAAGGGATCAGGCTGCCTGCTTTGTCTAGTGCAGGTGGATCCAGATCTGGCCATTTGTCTGTGTTTGCATATTTACACATCAAGGTCAGCCAGAGCTGTATTGAGCACCATCTCACAGGGGACCTTCTTCCTTCACTGTGGGTGACCCTTGGAGTCACTGCCCAGAGCAGGGCACGCTAACCTTGGTTTCCAGCTGTCTCTGAAACACCAAGACAGACACCCAGACAGACTTACACATCTAAATACTGGAAGCAAAGAATGCAGAGAAGCTACAGCCACGGCCTCGAGTTCAGTCATAGTCACAAGGGAGACGCATCTGAACTCACCTGGAAGGGGACAACCCTGTCATTTTACATAAGAGGAAAAGGAGGCCCTAGACACTCTGACTCACCTGCCCAGGGGGCAGCTCCAATCTCCTCTGGCTCCTGATGTGCATCAGCCGGGACATGATTAGGAAGGGTCATTCCTGCCTTGAGGACAGGGAGCCAGCTGGGTGATGATTGCCACCACCTTTGAAGGGCTGGATAGGATCGCAGGTGGGGTCATTACCCCTGCAGATGGAAGGGTTCCCTGCATACCACCTGCTTGTACTTGTTCGTGGCCGCTGACCACTTGTGACTGCAAAGATCGCCAGTGAGCTCAAGCTCTCAAGTGCCCATTTGCTCCTGAGCTCCAGAAAAAAGGAAGGCTGGGACAGGTTCTTAATATTCAAAGCAAACAAACCCATTATTAAAAGTAAACAAGAACTGCTTCGAAACAATTATCTCTTGGCTCAGAGGTCTAAATTCACCCCTACTGCCCTGAGCAACCCCCCACTTATTGTCAGGGGGAACGCCCCCTTTCCTGAGTGCCTACTGCAGACTGGGCTCCATAACTGTGTTCTCCCTAAACACCCAGAGTTAGAAATGAGCAGGATAAGCCGGGCGCAGTGGCACATGCCTGTAATCCCAGTGGCTCCAGAGGCTGAGGCAAGAGGATTGCATGTTCAAAGCCAGCCTCAGCAAAAGCAAAGCACTAAGCAACAGTAAGACCCTGTCTCTAAATCAAATACAAAATAGGGCTGGGGATGCAGGTCAGTGGTTGACTGCCCCTGAGTTCGATCCCTGGTACCCGCCCCCCCCAAAAGAGAAATGAGCAGTATATTTTTCATTTTTCCAGTGATGTTGTGGGTAGGCCACATCATTTGTTCAAATTTGAAACATGGAAACACCAGAATTTGAACTCAAGCCCGTAAAACTCCTAAGCTTACCTTAGCACACTGCTCCCACCAAAGATAGGTCCCCCATGCCTCTGTTTCTATTTTTTATTTCAAAGAAAAACGTAAGACCCAGAGAAGGAGGCCTGCTGTCTACCCAGGTAAAGCCTATTCAAATTGCAGTCCCTCTGGTAGGGCTGCTGGGGACAAAATCGTGGAACCTCTGATGACTTAAATGTGTGAAGTGGACAGAGAAAAGACTGTATAAATGCCAAACTGCTGGGGCTCAGTTTGGCCCTAATTCCTAATTCTAGTACTATAATGGACTCTGCTGTCCGAAAAAAGCCAGAACGCAGTGCAAAGTTTGCAGCACAAGATCCAGAATCATGGCCTTCCCAATGAATTTAGAATTAAGCTGACCCTCAGTGATAGACTTATGCCGATAAACTTATAAGAGACTGATATATAGTCAGAATTTTAATCAAATACAACAGAATCCTGTTTATCTGGGAGTCTTATGTTAGAGGCATCTAAATAATGGCATATTCTAAAAAGAAATTTTAAAATCTATTAAATCGTGCCATTGGAAAAAAATCAATAAATAATTTACTATGGGTACAAAGGTTGGCAATGGAGAGATTCACTATACCACCAATGACTAGCTGGAGACAACAGATCAGACAAATCTTTTGATGTTGGTGGATGGTGTCAACTCTTACGAATAGATTGACCATGACTCCGTTATAGTTATTTCATGTTCTAAAAAACCTGTGCAGAATTTAAAAAACATTCACTGGAAAATAGTCTGGCAGTTCCTTAAAAGGTTACCCAGAGATTTTCCATGTGACCCAGCAATTCCACTATAGATACATACATCCAAAATGATTGAAAACATACCTCCACTCAAAAATTCATAGGTGAATGATCACAGCACCTGTTTTCAAAAAAGTGGGAGCCAAAAAGTAGAACCAATTCAAATAGCCATCAACTGGTGATTGGATGAACAAAATGTGGCATATCCATTCAGTGGACTATTATTCAGCCATAAAAAGTAATGAAGTGCTGGCCCTTGCTAGAAATAGATGGACTTTGAGAACATTACGGGAAGTGGAAGAAGTAAGACATGGATCACAGTGTAAAAACCCACTGATATGAAATGTCCAGCAGAGGCAAACCTACAAACACAGAAAGTACATCAGGGGCTGCCTAGGTCTAGGGGACAGGGACATACAGGGAGGTGGGGATGACTGCTACTAAGAAGGGGGTTGGCAGGAGTGGGAATGAAAATGTTCTAAAGATGATTGTGGTGATGGTCATACAACTCTGTGAACATAGTGAATATCACTGAATTGTATATTTCAAAAAGTGCATTTTATAGCATATGAATTATATCTCAATATAACTTAAAAAAATAAAAGGAGGGGCTGTGGTTGTGGCTCAGCAGTAGAGAGCTGGCCTAGCATGTGTGAGATCCTGGGTTCCATCTTCAGCACCACATAAAAGTGAACTAATAAAATAAAGGTATTGTGTCCAACTACAACTAAAAAAATAAATAAATAAAAGGAAAGGAAAACCACTTACCAATGAGCAGGAAATACTCAGACTGAAGGTCTTCCATGCTCCCCTGTGCCCCCCCACCCCCACACCTGTGCTCTCCACCCTTCTGCTTTGCTTTCTTTCTCCTGAGACTGTTCCAAGTGGACTGGGCTAACGGGTGCCCTTGCCTGGATGATCTAACTATTTACTGTCCAAACTGGGACACATTTGAGGAAGAATTGGGGGGTAAATCAAATCCTCCTGGGCACACCTCCAGAGGGGCAGGCTGGCTGCATGGCCCCGTGCAGGGCTGGGAGAGCTACAGTGCCTGCCACGTGGCCCTCTTCCTGCAGCTGCCTCTGGGGTCCAGCCTCCCCGCCTCCTTGCTTTCCAGGCCCAGAGGTGGTGACGGCCCCTCACCCACCACCACGCCTGCAGTCTCCTGGTTTCCCTGAACCCAGCCCATGTCTCTGCAAACGGTCCCTTTCTTAAACTTCCTCCATCACCCAGTTTGACTGGGCCATCTGTTTCCTGCTAGTCCCCTACTGACACAAAACTTCAAATAAACAGCCCCCAAGATAACTTTGAAAGGAAAGGTGTGGTCAGCACAGTGACACTGCTATGCTCTCCCCCAAGAGCCGTTGTCCTCACCCTCCTTCAGTTTCTGCAGATGTTGGTTTTATCAAATTCTGATAATAAAAGATTTTACTGCCTCTCTCTGGGTGCCTTTTGCCCTCCCCTTGAGCCCAGACCAGGACTATCAAACCCCAGCAACAGGATGTGACAGTAAATACACTTTCATTTTCTTTCATTGCCGTCCACAGTTCTTTCCCCCCACTTTGAAGGAGACGAGTGGACAGCACAATTCGTCATGTTCAGCATGAGAAGTCAGGATGAGAAAGCACATTCAACTGGATCAAAATTTGCTGTGCTTCCTAAGACAGATGGATTTATGTATTTCATCAATTCTAGAAAATTCTCAGGCAATATCTTTTGGAATATCTACTCTCTTCCCCGCATTCTCTCTAGAAGCAGCTCTGTTCTCGTCATGTCCTCCTTATCCCCCAACCTCTTTCCCCCTATTTTCTATTCCTTTATTTCTTTGTGTTTTCTTCTGATCTTTCTGATTGAAAATTCTCTTTTCAGCTCTGTCCCTTCAGTTCTCTAGCTTGTCTGTGCAAGTTCAAGTACACATTGTAATTTCCGTGCCCCTGTGTTGTTCATTTCTAGACTTTCAGTTTGATCTTTTTTTTTTTATAGTGCATGTCCTCTTTTCAGGGTGTCTTGCATTTTTGTCTTCTTTGATGTCTGAATCATTTTGAATCTACTTAGTATCTCTTTGAGACCTCTCGATTATCTCCAGGTCCTGTGGGTTGACTTCTGCTCCTAGTTCTGTCTGCCAGCTTCTGAGCACAACGGGTGGACGGTTTCCTTGTGTGATTTATAATTTTGAATTGTGAACTCATCACTGGGGTCTTTGTCTGTGGGAACCTAGAAGGACTTGTGGAGGGTGAATCTCTTAGAGCCATTGCTTAGTTGTGCTTTCTGGGTTTTTCTGCTTTATTTTAGGCCAGTAACACTTTTTTGACATTAATTATCATCTTGGGTACTTTGGCTCCAATCAAGGGAAGGGAAGCATCAACTTTCAGGTACTGGAGGTTTTCAGATTCACCTGGCTGTCAAGGAGCACCCCGCTTCTTTCTCATTGGCTCTCTCGTGTATTTGGAAGGATTCTGATTACACTTATCTACTGTCTCTGCATGGCTGTCGCCCAAGTGACAATTTATAGAATTGGTGACAACTAGAAGTCCCCTTTTCATTGCATTTACATCACATAATGTTGGGTTTTGAGTAATGTGTAGTATTTTCTATTTTTATATAAACTCAGATGCCTCTGATGGATTTGAAATAATCAGATGTTTCTCAATTGCTTCACATAATATGTAAATGTTAAGGTTTTCTAAAATAATATGCATTTCATGCCCTTTGATGATTACTCTACTCAGAAGCCACATCTTACACACAAATGATTCCTTTTCATTGTGCTCATGTGGAACAGAGAGAGCTAAGCTCCGGGGATATCTTCAAGGAGGGAGATCAGGTCCCAGGCAGTCTTGTTCTGTGATGTGTGCAGGGATCTCTGCTCCAGGAGCGCCCTGTTCCCGAGGTCAAGGTAGTGTGGAAGGTACTTCATAGTTAGCAGGCAACCTGGGAGCCTATGAACACAGCTGCTGGATGCTGAGCTCAGAAAACTGGATGATTCTGGGAAAAGGACGGCTAGGCAGAGTAGGTGCTCAAGAAACGGTCAAGGAACTGAAGGAAACTTCCTCACCCTGCTACAGAGCAGACACACATCCCAGTGACCTAGAATCATCTGACAGGGTCCCTCTTCCTTGAACAATCCCAGAGAAACAAAAATTCTTACAGCTGCTTTTCACCTTTTATATTCACCTGGTTCTTGGCAGCCAGGTGAATCTGAAAACCAGCCCCTTACTAAATTTTCATGACCAGGAGCCATAAACTGGCTTGCAGAGCAAGAGGATTTTTTAAAGTTTTGTTTTGTTTTCATTTTTTTCAGTACTGGAGATTGAACTCAGGGGTGCTCTACCACTAGCATCTTTTTATTTTATTTCTCATTGAGTTGCTGAGGCTGGCCTTGAACTTGTATCCTCCTGCCTCAGTCTCTAGAGTAACTAGTCTTGTCATCACCCTCTCTCCAAGATCCTTCCATTCAAGTACGGAAGGATTACAAGTATGTATCACCATGCCTGGTAGGGAAGAGTTCTTTTTGTGTGTGGTCCTGGAGATTGAACCCATGGCCTTGTGCATGTGAGGCAAGCACTCTACCAACTGAGCTATATCCCCAGCCCCCCAGGAAGAGTTTTTAAAATTTGAAATCTAAAAATATCCAAAAATTGGGAAATACTACATTAAGGTGCAAAGTTTCAGCTTCTACAGAAAGACTGGAACATGCAATGATTAAAGGCCCACATTGCCATCTGGCTTTGGCCCAGGGAGAAGCTGGCCCTTGGGGGAGAACTTGCTCTCTGGGTCTCCAGGGTCCCCTAACCCCTGTGAACTCTCCCCTGGCCTGCTCCACACAGGTCTGCCGCCTGATGCTCATGGGCACGGGTCTTGAGCCACTTCTGAGCATTGCTCAGTTCATCACTTTCCTCTGTCCGGTTCCTGCCCCAGTGACACATTCTGGACACTGAGGTTACACTTGGGCGTTTCCCAGCCTGCCACCCACAAAACATATACAAAACATCACTTAGGGTGAGTCACTGTGGCAGATATTTTTAACTGATTCTTGCTAATTTCATTTTTAAAAGGTACCTGTTTCCAAGTGGAAGTCCTTCTATAATATTGACACCTCCCAATTGGTCTGAGGGATTTAAGGACTCTGGGATCATAAAGAATTGTGCTTACAGCTCACCAGGGCAAGCTTAAACCAACTTTAGTTCATAGATGAGCCATGGAATGCTCCATGTAGGAAGAGCTGGCCTTTGGTGAGCGCTCACTGGGAGCTGGGGCAGTCTAAGTAATCCCACCCCGTGCTCACACAGCAAGTCTCTTATCCCTGTTTTATAGTTGGGGAACCAGAGGCACAGAAGGCTGGGAAGTGATGGAGCCAGAATTAAGCCCAGCAGCCTGACTCAGAGGCCACCATCTCAGCCACCTCACACAGTGGCCTCTGATGCGAAGGCCCCTCACAAAAGCTCAGAAATTTCACAGACCTGCCTGAGTCTCACCACGCCCTGGGAGCCCTAGAATAGCACCATGCTGCAGATTAGAATCATCTGGGGCTTTAAAAACCTATCCAGGCATGAAGGAAGAACCACAACTGGTTAACATTTGGGGACTCTAAATGGGTAAATGGGATCTCCTGGGACTATTTTTGCAACATTCCTGTAAGTCTGAAATTATGTCAAAATAAAAGATTAAAAGTAAAGTGACTAAATTAGAATACTACTAGTTAACCCGGAGGAATTTTCACAGCAATTGACTGTTGATAGCAAGGTCTGGGAAAAGTGTGCACAATGAGATCCTATTCTTATAAACAGTGACAAAATCCACTCCCCCTAACCCCCAGGCATATATCTTTTTATGAGGATGGAATAAAATATGTATGATATGTTCAAAGAATTCTGGAGCCCAGTTCTCAGAGGTTCTATTTGAGTTTCTTCAGGGGTAGGACCTGGGGATGGATATCCTCTTTTAAATTTCCATAGATCAGGGTTCTTAATTAGCATGTGCAAGATCCTGGTTTCCATTATCAGCACTAGCAAAAAAAAAGAAAGAAAAGAACAAAAAGTTCTGATGCCCAGATCATAGCCCAGACCAACTGAATCAGATTTGCTGGCAGCAGAGGATAGGAATGGGTGTTTTAAAATCCCCCCACCCAGATTCTAATATGCGGCCAAGTTTGAGGACCAGGCAGGGCCCTCCAGGCAGCCAGGGTTGAGAGTTACTGCTAGGAAGAGGGGAACCCATGAGTGTAGCCTTACTAAGTGGTAGGCAGGGACTACCGTGCCAATCCTCCCAATGGCTAGTGAGGTGGGAACTGGGGAAACAGGCTGGCTCCAGGGAGCCCATAACCTGCCAGAGGTCACAGAGCCAGGAAATAGTGGCACACATTCTGGACACACCTACAGGGATTCAAATTCCTCTAATGGGGATTCATTCCTTTGGATTCCTCCTCCTATGGGGTCTTAAGAACAGCAGTGAATGAGGTCCTGGATTCAATCCCCAGCACTTCAAAAAAAAATAAACAACAACAAGAAGCAGCAAATGCTCCCCGGAAGAGCTGCATGTTCGTGGGCTCTTACTTTCCCAGCGAGTGCCTGATGTTTTGAAGGGGGATGTAAGAATGATGTTCTGCACGGGAGAAGAATATACTGTACAGGATACAAATCTGATCTTGTCATCACCCTCTCTCCAAGATCCTTCCATTCATCAGCCTCACTTGAGTCTTTAAAAACAGCAAGTGTCCTTCCCACATCTGGACCTGTCCTGCCTCGGGAACTTTCCCAGACAGAAATTTTGAATGTTTCACTTTCTTATGAGAGACAAGATCCTCATTCTCAGGCCTGAGACCATGAGAGGCACAAGGAAAAAAGAGGCCACAAGAGAGGGGTAGTTGGCACACACTGCTGAAGTTGAGGTGTGTGGAGCGTGTGGCAGGAAAGCTGAGCTTAGTGTCTTTTGGACTGGAGCAGGGGCCTCTAATCCCAGGATCTGGATGTTGAACAGAAGGGAGACCTTGGACATTGAGTCAGAAAGCCAGGGGTGGAGTCCTCCCAACAGTGAAATGAGGATGGAAGGACGCAGCCTCCCATTAGACACAGTATATGTGAAATGCTGGATCGCTCCTGGTAGGTCTCAGCAGGTCAGTGGGACATCATGCCAACATTATAGGCTGGCAGTGGGGTAGTCTGGGACCAGCTAGACATAGGCTTTGGCTTGGTCTCTACTTCTGTTGATATTTCTTGAATGTTTTCTTCCCATATGTCAGATGCCACTTTAAGTTCTTTCATATATTAGCTCATGTAATGTGCATAATAGCCCAGTCAGGCGGATGCCATCATCATCCCCAATTATGGATGAGGAAACTGTGGCCTAGAGGGGTAGGTAACTTATCCAAAGCCATACAGTTAGTAGTGTAAACTGAATTTGAACCATGCAATCTGGCTTTACAAACAGTCATCTTGATCATTATAATACTGATAGCATTAAAATCATAATAATGATAATGGTAAGAGCAAACCACGTGTCAAACACTGTTACTAGCAGGGTGAGAATGAGGCCTGTGTATTCGAATATCCTAGGGGATGGGGTCCAACAGCAGGTTGGCCTGAAATCAGTTACTTCCAGAAGGTAACACCTGTCCTAGTGATTTTGGGGAGACAGGTGAATGGAGGAACAGTTGAGTTGGGCAGAGTGATCCAGGAGATCTGTGGCTGAAGCAGCTCCAGGCATCCCTCTGATCCAGGTGTTGTTCAAAGCCAGGGCTTTTCCTGCTACTGAGTGAATCTGACACAAGTCTGCCGCATTTTGCACTTGGTTTCTTATGGCATCTGCTCCACGCCTTTTTCCACCTGCTCCACCCCTTTTTCCACTTGTTATGTTTTGTGCTTCAAGTGGTTAGCTACAGGGTCAAAGTCCACTTAGGTGCTTTGTTTAATGTCCTTTAAAAGTTGTTCATTTGATTCCTCTCATACTGTTGGGCGCCCAGTTGACGCTGATGAGAATGAGTCGTCCTGGCTGTGGAGTTATTATTCACTTGCCCTGCGAACACAAACCACCAGATCCCACATTAACCTGGGCACTTCGTGCTCTTTCCAGGTTAACCAAGGGTCCTCGGTGGTTATAGCAACATCCCATGAGCCCAGAGCTCCTGCAAACATCAACTTTCCACGTCACAGGCAGTCAGCAATCTCTAGAGACTGACAGGCGTTAAGAGCTCTAATGCCGATTCCATGATTCCATTCACTTTGCACTGGCTCATCAACCCACTTCCCCCAGCATCCTGCAACTTTATCGAACTCAGCATTCCACTGCAGGATACGTCCCCGACTCTTCTTAATTACATAGTTGGCTATATGCGATCATGACTCCGTGTTACAGTCCTGACATGACGGAAAGAGCTTCTTCTCAGAAGGTTGCAGCAGCAGCTTTCCCGTCCCAAAGAGCGCTTACTAGGGCCTGGCGCTGGGTTAGGCCTGCCAGCGAACAAGTCCCCGGGGAGTGGCGGTGCAATCTCCGTTCCGGGCGCTCGGACTGTTCGCCTGGCGGGATGCTGACCATCCCTCTCTGCGCTGCGACTGGCTGCCAGGGGCGGAGAAGGTACTCCATATGTCCGGGAGGCGGAGGGCCCGCCCGGCGCCGCCTGCAGCCCGCCCTCCCTGCGGCGGGCGCTCCACGCGCCTCCCGGGCGCGCGCTCCCAGCCCCGCCCGCGTGCGGCGGCCGCGGCCGCGAGCGCGCGCCCTCCCCGCGCATCCGCGTCGGACGCACGGCCGCGAGCGCGCGTGCGCCCCTCCGAACGTCCCCGGGAACCCAGCCAGAGCGAGCGCCGGGGCCAGGCGCGCAGGAGTGAAAAGGAGGCGGCGGCCGCGGCTGCTAGCAACAGATCCGGGCGCCTAGAGCAGACCTTTTCTGCTGCTGGGCCATTTCTTTTTAATTTCAAAAAATAAATAAATAAGTAAAATTTGAAAATCTTGCATTTTTAAATGGCGCTGGCCCCGGGTCAGCAGGAGGTTTTCTCTGCATCAAGATGGGCTTTGCCGTTTCCGTCGTGGGCACTTGTGATGGCCTGATTGTCAGTCTTCTGTGGGCATTTTTGAGGCCAGAAGCCGAGCACTGCATGTAGGCGAATTACCCTACAGAACGGTTTGGCTTTTAAAATTTTTGTTATTATTTTGGGCAGAGAACGGTCGATCTCGTGCATTCCGTCCGCTCTGCAGAAGAGGCGGAGAGTCGTTGGTTGGGTCGCTTAGAACGTGAAATTCCTCCCGGGGTGAGCGAGCCCCGGCCCCGCGCGCAGTCCAGCGGCCACGCGAGTGTGTCCTCCCTGCCGGCGCCGGGAAAATGGAGGCTGTGATTGAGAAGGAATGCAGCGCGCTCGGAGGCCTCTTCCAGACCATCATCAGCGACATGAAGGTAGGACGCCGGGGGCGCGGCTGCTGCAGCCGCGGCGTACTGACCTCGCCGCGGGGCTTCGCCTCCACCTCCCGCAAGCGGCCCGGCCCTTGCTTGCGCGGTGGCAGTCGGCCACCTGCGGGAGCGCCGGCCGGGGTGTCACCTGCTTACTCGGGGCGCTGTTACCCGCTCTACTGGATCACTGGGCGGGCGACTTCCCTGGGGAGGTTTGATGCCCCCTGCCATCTCCCTGCTCATTGTCCCAGGGGGCGGCACCATCTGGTTCCTCTGGGGGTTCATGGCCCTGGCTCCAAGTTTTCCATTGTCTGTTCCTGGACTGAGTGTCTGAGACCCGTGGAGGTTGGATACCCCGCGGACACCAGATTCCCGGGTTCGGGCGGAGGCGCCTGGCACGGTGGTGGGGAGGGATTCGGGGTTCTGCCTGGTCGCAGGAAGGAGTCTCCCCGGCCTGGGAGACCAAAAGGAGGCCTCCTCCTTCCTTGGCTTTCAAGTATACCTGCTGTGGTGGGATCAGAGCAAATTAGTTATTAATTAGGCTGTTCCAAACTGGTGAGGGCGTGCATGCCTTCTCTCAACCCTCCCCCGGGACGCGGGGCAGAAGTTCCCAGGGAAGCCTGGCAGGAGCCCTTAAGCTGAGGCTTCCAGCCTGAAGGCAAGATTGGGGTCCCCTAAGCAACTATGTCTCTCTCCCCCCGCCAAAAAAAAAATACACATAAAAGAAAGAAAAAGAAAACCCCACACCCCACTCCTGGTTTTCTTTTGGAAGGATTGTGGAGATTGTGTGCGTGCGTGTGCTCGCGCGTGTATGTTGGGGGCGGGGAGGAACACCCTGGCTTTTTCCTGCAAAGGGTGGGACTGGAGATAACCTGATCCTCGGATGTGGATTTTCTGGTGCATTGAGATAGATCAGGGCCCTCCCTGTGTTACTCATCCAGAGGAAATATAACCAAGCGTGCTAGCTGGCTGGAGGTGGGAATTGGGGGCGGTGGGGGGAATGTATTTTTCATGTGTATTTAGGGAGCTTCTCTTTGGCTCCAGCCCAGCCCCAGTTTGCCTCGACAGATCCGGGGAGGTGGTGTTTAATTAAAAGCTCGGCTTCCAAAAGAGTGGGCAGGTTTGGAAAGCCGTGCTGGCGGGTGGGTGTGGACAGCCCCTCTTCAGCCACTGCCTGGCGCCTGGAGGAGCTTTTGTCTGATGAAGTGTAAGGTTTGGAGAGGCTTCTGCCTCGGAGATGGACTTTGGGAAGGAATGCTCAGCTGTCACAGCCTGCCTCCCCCTTCTACCTAGCAGAGGGTGAACTTTGCCAAGGTGCCTCCTCCTGGTCTTGTCCATTTTGAAATCCTTCCACAGATCTGTGCCTTTTGTCAGAAATTGACATTCGTGTAGCCTAATCTGCAGCCAGACCCTGCTTGCCCAGGAATGCCTCTAATCCAGTCACTTGGAATTAGATGGATTAGTCCCACTTCAAAGACAGCCCCTTTCATTCCTTTGCTCCCAATCCACATTGAATCATTGAAATGCTCTTTTGAACAAAGATTGGTCCCCTTTCCTTGGACTCTGGTATTTATTGTTAACTTAAATTCCTCAGGCCCTATAGTCAAACAAATTTGGTTGGAAGCACACATGGTATATTCTTATCTCCAGAGGATGAATTTGAGATGGGTTGGTAAAACAGCTTGTGTTTTTTGGAGGAGCTAAATGGAGGTTTCCAGTCTGGGATCTAAATGACCTGCTCACTGCAGTCCCAGAGTGGTCACACCTGGAGTTTTCCTCTTTGTTCTTTAATCCAGAATCTAGGCTCAGTTCTTTCCATTCACTGGTTTGAATCCAAAGCCCTTCAGAAGGTAATCCTGCCCTAAGGGTGGGTTCTCCTGCCTTCTACCTGCTGTCCTCTGGCTGCCTGGCAGTGTGCTGTGCCCAGAGATTCATGGTGCTTCATGGTGATACCGTGGTGTTCTCTCTCTCTCCATATATATATATATATATATTTTCAAGGTTTCAGAAATAAAGAGCTCTTATTTAATGATCCTTTAATGCCAAATCTGGAGTTTCTGGGTCTTTCCCTTTGAGTTTTTGTAGGTTTGTTCTACATTCTGTGGGAAGGCATTTATTTTAAAGGTTTTTGTTTGTTTGCTTGTTTTGTCTTGGCAGTAAAAGATTTTGAAAGCAAGGTGGAATGGAATACTAAACCATGCAGAATTTTAGACTTTGCAGGGAGAAGAGGGATAAGGAAAAAAAGAGACAAGGTGTCTGATTTGCAAGGTTATTTCTACATAAGACAAATTACTAAGTATTCTCATAGACTTTTCTTCCTAAAATACTTCTTCATGGATTACATGGCAGTGATATTTTAAAAGGGAAGTTCAAGAAAATGAAAATGTGGTTACCTAGGAGAAGCAGTGTCAAGTGCAGATGTATGGGGTGGCCAGTGGTAAAAGTCAGTTTTTAATGTCTGGAGTCAGGTGACTTTCTAATGACCTGTGTGTCCTCTTTTTCTCTTCTTAAGACTCCCATGATGAGTTTATCACATCTCCTTTCTTTTTGCTTTGAGGGAGAATCATAAATGTTGAGAACCCATTTGGATTGCCATCTTGATAGTGTTCAGTTTTGTTTTGTTTTTCCTTAGAAATGATGTTGTGCAGGGGTGAGGAAAGGGTAGGAAAATGGTTTTATAAGTAGCATTTGTTTCTTCAAAATGTATGGCAGCACAGGAAGGGAGTCAATTTCCTCTTTGGAGAAAAAAAAAAGAAAACAGAAAAATGAAATAATTTCCAGGCCTGATACCATTTGTCTTCTAAAACCAAAAAACCTCAAGACAATGAAAAGCTAGAGAGGATTCTTTGTGCTTTTCTCCTAAAGGTTCTTCATCAGTCTGGGTCCTTGGCTGTCAGGGTGTGTGTTTTGTCCTTTTTGGGGCTGGGTGTGAAAGGAATCCTTACTTTTCTTGGGATGAGATCTAGAACATGGAAAACAGGCTGCAGCTGTTAAATAACTTATTGATTCCTTGACTGGAGAGGACCTGGATCCTTCCCCTTCTCCCACCCTGCTGCAGTGGTGGTCGCTGATGACCAGTGGTGTGCAGAATGGCTTATGGCCTGCCGTTCCTCCCATCACATAAATCACCCCTCTAGCCGTCAAGCGTGATTTGTCCTGAGGAGAAGGGAGACAGGGTATTCACGTGGCTGGAGGCAAGGCCCATGGTTGGCTTGTCTGGGGGAACAGTGGTCTGGAAGTGACTGGAGTTCCCTGGAATCTTCTGGGTGTCTGCCCAGGTTCTGGGGAGGATGGCTAAATACTGCTAACAGATGTGTGTTGTTGCTTTTAAGTAACCTAACCAGAATCTGGTGTTAGGGAATTTTCAAGACCTGGAGACTTGGCTGTCCAAACTTGGGGGGAAGCTCCTTCTGGGGATGTTTGTCTATCTTTTAATAATTAACTGGGTAAAAAACAGAAAACACTGCATGCTCAAATCAAATATTGTCCTTGCCCTGGTTGCTCAAGTGTCAGCCTGTCGGGAGAGGAGTAGGCTGCTGCAGGCAGAACTTTGTCCGAGCTGGGGAGTGTGTTTTGGGCCTTATATAATATGATGGGGCGAGAGGCACCCAGCCACACCTGAGTGCTCTCCACTGCGTGCCTCTTTAGACAGGGTGTCCTGTTACCAGCACCTGTGCTGAGCAGAATAGGGGCCTTGTTCAGTTCCTCCCTCTGTTGGCTACCAGTATCTTCTGTGCTAAATTCTGCCTAAAATTAGAACTGCTAAAGGACTTCTTGAATTCCATGGAAATCTTTTTGTGGTTCGAAGGCATGTCATGATATTTTCCCTCCCTTATCATGAGATCAAGAATGTGGGTAGTGAGTGGGTCCAGCACTGGGAAATGATCCCAGGACTGTATTTTTTTCCCCCCTTGTTGATCTGAGGTTCCTGTCAGAAGAAGGGTTCACTTCCTTGATATTTATTGAGGACCTACTATGTGGAATCTGTTTGCTATCCTGCCCTCCAAGAGCCTTGTGCGGAGGGCTGTGACCAGAATGTCATCTTAGTATGGCAGTGTGGCCCGAGGGAAAAGACTTTCCTTGGATGCTTCAGAAAAAAACTTCTCTCTAGGAAGACACTGAAAGCCAAGCTCAGGCCTCAGCGGCCAGGTATTCTGAGGGAGGTGGGCCACTCTGTGTGAACGGTGACAGCCACACAAAGGCAGGACAAGCAGAGCCATTGTAAAGGACAGATGGGCCCTGTGTTGGCTTTTCTCTTAGCAAATGGTCGTGTTTGGCCAGGGTTTTACAGCTTCCTCATTTTGGGCCCATGGGAGAAAAAACTAAAATAAAGATGTCATCAAATCAGCAGCAGGAACCACCCAGACTGGGTGCTTATTCAGAGATTTAGGGCCTCTTCTATGTAGATCGACCGTTTTTTTTTTTCTTTTTTTTTTTAAGGTGTGAAACTTGTTGTCCTGGTTTGGAAAACTGTCATTTTGGGCCTTGGTTTAAATGTTTCTGTGGGAAAACCCCTTATCCCTCCTATTTAATCAAATTGTTTAGAACTTGTGGCTTCATGCCATGAACCTTTATGCTCTCAAATTCTGCAGTTCATAACTGCCCCAAATGGAGAGGAGGTTGTTCCTAGGTCACTGCTTGCATGGAAGGTCGGCTGAGCTTGGCTTCAACCTGGTTCAGCCATCTACCCATCTACCCATCCTTCAGCTTCTACCCATTCTGTGGTATTTCTTGAGCATCAGTTATGTTGCAGGCACCAAACTGTGTTCTGATTCTTGCAAGAAAAATACAGCATAATTTGTGTTTCTAAAGTGTGAACAGTATGCCCGCATTTTCCCAGCTGTTGACTGCCTGCCCTTTGACCTCTTCTTTTGCGTCTTGGCTGTAGGGAAAAAAAGGAAAAAGATAAAATGATATCTATCAATTTGGTGAGCTCATTTGAGGTTGTTAAAATGTGTGGAGGGTGAAAAGGTTGAAACTATTGATCCCTTAGAGGCTTCATCTAT